GATTTTTTCTTTCTTTTTTTTCCTTTCAGAACTTGTGGGAATACTCTTCCTTCTGGAATTGAAGTATGAGAAAACAAATATGTTTGAACTTCTGACATATACTTTTCCCTCACCTTATAGAGAAAGCAAAGCTGAGAATCCGGAGATGAAAAGAATAAGAGAAAACAAAGAGACATGAGCAAGAGAAAGGTAAGAGGGAAGAAAAAAGAAACAATAAAGAAATAAAGAAAAATAGAGAAAGAATGAAAAAGAGACAATGATGGATCCAATGACATCAATAGATGTAGACAAGATGGCCACACATGCAGCTTTACTCCTAGACAATTCAGTTAGAAATGCCAATAAACTGTCTTTGTTGTTGCTTTTACTTCTGTAACTACCAACTCAGTGAAACTGGACTAATCCAGAGACCCCCATCTAATTTTTTTTAATTAAATAATTTATTTATTTGTTCTAATTTGTTATACATGACAGCAGAATGCATTTCAATTCATTGTACACAAATGGAGCACAATTTTTCATTTCTTTGGTTGTACACAAAGTAGAGTCACACCTAGGGTAATGACGCTCATCTCATTCCACCATCTTTCCTACCCCAATGCACCTTCCCTAATTAGTTATACATGACAGTAAAATGTATTTTGACACATCATATATAAATTAAGTATAATTTCTCATTTGTCTGGTTGTATATGATGTAGAGTTACACAGGTCATGTAATCATATATGCACATAGGGTAATGATGTCTGATTCATTCTACTATCATTCCTACCCCTGCGCCCCATCTCCTCCCTTCACTACCCTCAGTCTAGTCTAAAATACCTCTATTCTCCACCCCCTCCATTGTGAATTAGCATCCATATATCAGAGAAAACATTTGGTCTTTGGTTCTTTGGGATTGGCTTACAGGCAATTCTGATGCATCATGCAAAATACTGATGTAAGACATAATTAGAATTTCATTCTGTTATAAAAACTTACTGTAGAAAATAGCTTAACATTGAATATGATAAGGAATTGTTTTAAAAATAACAAGACTTCAGTGGAATATTGTGTGATTTAAAAACTGATGCAATATGTCTGACATTGAAAAACATAATTAAATATACATGAATTGCACACAAACACATAAAATGATGCAATTCCATTTTTGTAAAAAATATTCATATACACAAATATATAAAAAATACAATTGATTTTTGTAATTCTGTGGATATTTTTGTATTGCTTTATGTTGCTCCTTTGGTGTTACTGTTTAGATATTAGGTGGCCCCCAAAAGCTCATATGAGATAATTCAAGAAAGTTTAGAAATGTAATGACTAGGTTATAAGACCTTGCTTAGTGCATAAATCCCTTGATAGGGATTTACTGAATAGTAATTGTAGGCAGGTAGGATGTGGCTAGAGGAAGCCAATCACTGAGGGAATGACTTTGGAGTTTACATTGTCCCTGGGGAAGAAAATTGGCTCTCTTCTCTGCTTCCAAATTCCACGTCCTGAACTGCTTTCCTCCACCACACTCATCTGCCATAATTTACTGCCTCACCTCAGACTCAGAGCGATAGAGTTGGCTATATATGCACAGAGACTTCTAAAATCATGAACCCCAAAATAAACATTTCCTCCTCTCATTGTTCTTGTGAAATCTTTAGGTCACTGCAGTAAAAAAGTGAATAAAAAAGAAATTGGTTCTGAGAAGTAGGGTCCGTGTGACTAATGTGACCATATGGTTCTGTTATGGTGTAAACTGATAAATACAATCAATAAGAATGTAAGTTATAAGTTACGGATTAGTAAAAAAAAATATAGATTATAGATAGAAGATTTTGATAAGTGAGATAAGACAATTATAAAGCAAGAACTTTCATAGACAGGTCTAAGACTCCATTTTGGTGTCTTCTATAAAAAACTGTTACAAGAGCTGTTTCAGAGAAACTGAAATGGAAGCTGTTTTCTTATTTTAAAAAGTGTCTTTCTGTACTTTGTACCCCTTAAATTGTACCCTACTCAGGATGCAACAGTGGTCGAGGTGAGCTACATCCTGGGTTTGAATGCCCTTGTGGGTCTACATGACTTTGAAGTAGATTCTCGCCCCACTGACCCCCACCCATATTCAGGATGTGACTGTCTAACACCTGCTTGAACCCAGGGCTGTGGTCAACTGAATTGCAAAGCTAATGCTTTTTTTGGCTTCTGTTTATCACTTGCTTGCTGACTGGAAAATTCCAGTCCTGTATAGAGCCCACAGGTCCCACTTATTAATGTTTTAATTTCAATGATTGGCTAGCTTACATGACGATAAGCAAATCATTGAGTTGTGGTTTTTGTGCTTATATTCTCTTTGGATAGACAAGGAAGCTGCTGTCCTCCTACAGAGCTTGAGTCTCTGCGGTAGGTGACAGTCACTGGCCTGGTAAATAAAACTCTCTTTTGATTTGAATTCAGACTCAGAGTGCTTTCTGAGGTGTCTCCCCATAACAGTTCAGAAGTTTTTGGAGCTTCTTAGAATTTGTGGAAGCAACTTTAAAAAGTTTAGAGATGCAAGCTGGAAAAGTTTGAGAATGTTATCAACAGCTTAATGGATGTTTCTGTGTGAGCTCAAAAGACTAGAATGCCAACAGGAGTATGAACAGTCTATGACAGGGTTCATGAGGTTTCCAGGCAGAAGGACTTTATTGGAAATTAGACTAGAGACCAATCATATTCTGTTCTGGCTATGAAGTTGTGTACATTTTGCCAGTGTCCTGAGACTTTCTGTAAGGTTGAATTTAAAGGTGATGGACTTTATAATCTGGTGGAAGAAATCTGTAGGCAGCATAGCATTCAGGTAGTGGCATGGATATTGCTGGCAGCTAGCCAAATTTATTGTGATAATTAGGATCAGAAAGTGAAACAGAAAGATTTTAAAAACTTAGTTTGGACAGAAAACTGTAAGTAAAATTGGGGCAAAGGAAGGTATGGCTAAAGATATTATAGCTATCATAGAAACACTAAATACTTCACCAAGAAACAATAGTAAAGAAGTCTTTTTTTAAATAACTTTATTTATTTTTATGTAGTTTTGAGGATGGAACCCAGTGCCTCACATGTGCTAGGCAAGTACTCTACAACTGAGCTATAACAACCCCAGCCCAAGTAAAGAAGTCTTGATGAAATCTCAGGAATTGGCAAGACCATACCTATCTCAGGCTTAATGGTGTGAAAGTAAAAATTCCCTTGAGAAGAGACCAGTGGGCCACCCTGCTTGCACAAAGTAGCCTAGGAAATTGTTTTACAACACTCAGCCAACTAGGCAGGCACTCAAAGCCTGTTGAAGCCATGGTCCTAGAAGGCTTAGCTACTGATCAAGATGGCAGCAGACACTGGCATCAACCATGTGGTACTGGTTCTGGACCAATGCAGGATGATGGAGATATGTAGTCATGGAAGCTTCCACCAAGATTCCAAAGGAGGCCAGGTAAAGTACCCCAGGATTGGAGTTCCTGGGGCCTTCCCCCAAGGGGGCGATACACGGACAAGTGAGAAGGAAGCTGAAGCTGCAGTAGAAACCCTTGAGCTTAAAAATTGCCATAACTATAGAATATCTGCTAAGGAAAGCTACAAGAATTGAGCCCACACAAGCCAAGAGAGAGGCCAGCAACCAGTAAAGCCATAAAGGCATAATTAGACAAGCCCACCAGGATATCATGTACTACAGATGCTAGATAAGGAGCTACAGGACTTGTTTGCACAGGTAGATTTCAGCCTTCCTTTGGTCCCATCCCTTCTTTCTATGCCCCTACTTCTCTGTTTTGGAATGGAAATGTTTACTATGTTCCTTTATATATTTGATATATGTAACTTGCTTTTGAATTTTACAGGGCCTCATGCCGAAAATGTACTACAAGTTTCAAAGGAGACTGTGGATTTTTGGGCAATGCTAAAATTGCTGACTATAGGGGCTCTTGAAAATGGACTAAATGTATTTTTGCATTGTGAAATGGGAATGAGTGTTTGTGGGCTCACACAGAATGTTATGGTTTAGATATTTGGTATCCCCCAAAAGCTCTCTCTGCTTCCCAGTTACAAGTCCTGAGCTGCTTTCCTCGATACCGTTCTGCCATGACATAGAGCCCAGAGCAATGGAGTCAGTCATTTATGGACTGTGAGCTCTGAGATAAACTTTTGTCCTTCTAAAATTGTTGTTGTCAGATCTTTTGGTTGCTGCAGTGCAAAGACTGACTAAAACATCTTGCTCATCTGCATTATTTTTATTTCTAAAAGACTATGTATTGTTATACATTTTTTTAAAAAACCCAAGCTTCATTTGATGATGAAAAAAAAAAACTTCAAATAATATGTAAACTTTAAACTAAATGACATTTTATTTTGAGAAAGAGGAAGTATGGCAAAACTTTAATATGAATCTAAGTAAAGGATATATGAATACTAATACTCAAACAACATTTTCATTAGTTTGACTTTACCAAAAATTAAAAAGTTGTGGAGAAATAAGATAAACAAAGTACTTAAGAATTTGGCCCATCTCCCAGAAAAAGCATTTTATTTTATGTTAGGGTGACCATTTGATAAATAAATAAATACATAAATCCTTTAAAATATTTTACTTGTCAATTTACATAGGTTAAACCAAAAAAATTAACTGAAATAATAAAAATAAACATGAAAACATAGATGGACTGATAGATGTAAATACATAATTTTGAATTTTATTTAAAATATTTTAAATATATTATTTTCTGAATTTTCTTTAAAATTATTTTTTAAATAAAATAAATTATATTTTAAATGTAATTAAATATATATATTCAGTATACAAATGGATATATACATGGTTTTGAAAAATTTAAACTTCCCTGGTGTTCTTTAGTAATCAACCATTTATGTCTCTATATTATATTAGGAAGCTACTTTTAAAAATAATTTTTTTCCAATACAAGTTCATTTATAGTACATAGCAAGCCTCAAAAATATCAACTCTATAAAAGGTTTATCTCACCTCATCTAAGTCTTGGATATAAACTGGCTTCTCCTCTAAGCCAATTGGCATTGGTTCACTATAGGGAATCCTTACTTCTTCATAAAGCTTGTTATTCTCTCTTTGGATTCCTTCTGGTAAAATCATCTATAAATATCAAAATAACAATTCTGAATTAAAAAAAAATAAAAGAACTGCTCTGGTAAAATTTTTTAATGAGAAAAATACAGAATGCTATTGGTTTTAAGACATAGTCCTGGCAAATAAATTTAGCTAATTTAAAGAAAAACAAACCTAAAAGAAAAATAAATAAATAAATAAATAAAAACCACACTCCATTCTTATGTCAAGTATCTTATATGACATACAGGCCACAGTACATTGACGAATCTTAAAGTATACATTAACTACATTGAAGACAAATATACTCATACAAGTAGGATAACATGCAATATATGGTATAAAGCTTAGTCAAGCAATGATAAATACTGATAAATACTCAAAATTATAAATTTCAACAATATTGAATAGAAATGAAGAAATATTGTCTGAATACTTACTATATGTCAGAATTTTATACAGATCGTAATATCTCATATACCTATTATTTTAAATACTTTTAAATATTTTAGCATAAACTAATCAACTTGCACTGTATTCACAAAGGAAACAGGGAAAGCTATGTGTCACTGCCTCAGAACAGACATATTTCCAAGAGTTGTTATAAACCAATGACATACCTTTGCACCAGCAATGAATGCTGATGTTTTCCTGGCTTCAGCCTGGGAATCATAAACATGGGGATAATGAATTTTTTCAATGTCCATGTCTCTCTGCCTGCTGAGAATTGGAACACTTCTAGCATTCAGAAGTGCCTGCTCTCTGAAAATACAAAAAATGGCAGGCCAAATTTGACATTTTTATTTTGAAAAGGAAAGCAAGGTCATTATAATAATTACTTCTGGTGGCATTCCATTATAAAGAAAAAAATTAAACTACAAAAACAAAGATATCAGCAACTCAAAAATTTGGGGGGGTAACCAAATAGGTTCATTTTGTATTTAACTACTTTTAAATACCATTTAGTAAATCTGACTTATTGTTCATTCTTTATAGTTTTGCATTTTCACAACTTGAAGATATTTTCAAGGTAAAAATTCCTTTTTGGAAAAGTTACAATAATTAAAGCATCAAGTGCAATAATGACTTCATTTCATTTTCCTCCTTTCTACTTCTAGAGAACAATACACACAAATAAAAGTATAATTAAGTTGGGAAGAAAACAAAACCCTCAAAATAAATATAAATAAGTTTTCTATAACTTCATTGAATGGAATATGTGTAGCAACTAAAAATAGCTTACCTCTGTAATCTAAATCTCTCATGGATGTGAATGCAACCAATAATATTCTAATTAGCAGATGACTGTTTTTTTCCCAGAAAATCTTTATTCAGTGAAACTCGTTGTTACAAGAAAATAGGACTAAAAGAACCTGCCAAATTGCTAAAATCACACTAGAAAAATATGTAAAAGTATCGATTATAACACATGTGTTTTTCAGATTCTTGCTTTGATTACCTGTGTATTCGCAATTCCTTAGGATCAAAGCCCATAAGTCCTTCTCCAGAAACTTCTCCATCTTCTCCAGTCTTTTTTTCTCGTCTGGCAATTCGTTTTTCTTCACGTCGATATTGTTTCATTAACTGCTTTTCTTGTTCGGACTGAATAGTGACTTGACAACCATAATTAGGTTTGGTATTCTCTCCTAGAACTTTTTTGCAATTGTCTACAAGGCAAATTTTCAAAATATAATGGACTACACATCTCTGAGATCATTTAACCATATGAAAACCATTTAATTTCTCCCTAAAAGAACATGAAATAGCATAATGCTCTTATCATTCACATTGGAAAGTGGGCATATTCAATTACATAATTTAGGAACAGGTTTCTTTTTAAAAATCACAATATTTAATATTAGCTAATGGCTTAAGAAAAGTCAGTAAGATTTACTTCCTATAGATTCAATAGTTTAATGTTACTAATAGTTTGAATTCTTACATATAAAATCAGGAGCCTGTCAGCGGTAGAGCGCTGGCCTAGCATGTATGAGGGGGTGAGTTCAATCCTCAGCAACATATAAAAAAATAAATAAAATAAAGCTATTGTGTCCAACTACAACTAAAAAAAAATTTTTTTAAAAAATCAGGAGCCTGAAATCCAATTTTGTAATTTTGAAATAACTTGTTTATATTAATTTAAAAAATAATTATTAATACTAATTAGCACTGTTAGATAATACTAAAATAAAATTATATATTAAATATTTTTTCCGATGTAATACACTTTATTCTGTTAACTTGTATATATGTAACTATTCATACTGAAATAAACATAAGTGCAGAACATACTTCACAAAATAAATAGAGCAAGAGCAAGGTCTACCTTTTCATGGAAATAAAGGCCTATAAAAAAAGGGAAGAAGGTCAGAGTCACTAAGGGGTACCAGGTCGATCAAAACTCAATGTCTACAAAGTATAAATTAGATCTGTGGTTTAGTCAACTCAATATTCAGAACAAATTTTCTTCCAACAGGATCCAAGTTAGTAAGCTTATTTTACTGAGGATACTACATCCTAGGCACTATTGCTAAGCTAGAAAGACAAGACAAGACTTGGCTAATACTCTGCCAAGCACAGCCCAGGTAACTTTATCAAATTTGTAAGCTGCAATTCTGAAAAAAGAAGGAATTAAACACAGCACCAAGAAAGGAAAATTTGTTTTCTAATTCATTCTAAGTCAAATATTCAAATATTACAGTCTCCTTACAGAATTTTTTTTATTACATGCTCAAGACAATACAATGATCTTGACATATCTTATATTTGATTCAAATAGGGTATAAATTCTCATTTTTCCAGATTGCAGGATCACATTGGTTATACAGCCATGCATATACATACAACAATACTAGTGTCTGTTGTATTCTGCTGCCCTCCCTCTCCCCCCTCCCTTCCCCTCCTCTCCCATCACCTCTCTCTACCCAATCTACTGTGACACTTTTCATCCTTTTTTCCCTTCCCCCTCACACCATCGTATACGTATTTTGTGTAATAAATTTTAATGAGTCATTTATCTCTCAATCACATGAAATAACCCCCTCTATAGTTCCCTAAAAAGGAAAGTATGTCTCAAAATTACAAAATGAAGCATAAGCCCATGTATATTAGGATTAAAACTTAAAATTCTGAAAAAACTATTTTCATTTTTAAGTCTTACATTTATTTTATTTAAGTCTTATATTTATTTTATTTCTTATTTCTAAGGAAGTCTTACACACTTAATAAATTTATGATTAAATTTCAGTGTCAGAAAAAGAATGAAGCATTCTGACAGTTTTTACATGTACTCTTAAATAAAAGAAAAATGAAACTGTCTGCAAAGCCACTCAATCAACAATACAGGTTAAGCAGAATGTATAAAATTTGAGTAATGCCATTTATTTATCAGAAACCAGAGTTAAACATTTTAAAGTGTGAAACCCCTTTGGATGACATACTAAATTCTATATACTGGTGTCATTAACATTTTAAGCAAATGCGACAGTAATTAAATACTACTATATATGCTTACAATCATCCAAATAAGAAAATGAAAAATATAAGAAAATACAATGCCTCATTAAAAGATTTATAAGGTTTCAATCAAAATTAGTATATACTAGATTCCTATAAGACTAAACATAATAAAAATTTAAAAAGTAAAGCAGCAAAAGCTTAAATATATGGCTTTTCTTGTTTGGTTAGGCCAACTGTCGCAAATGACAAGCAGAAATGAAATAACCTTAACGGAAATACTAACAAAAAATTTTACTGAAGAACTACATAGATGATTATATCCTTTTAAAATGTAAATATAACAGAAAAATCCTGTATAACTACTCGAAATATTGTCACTTGATATTATGAACTAAGTTTTGATTTCATAATACACTCTCTATACCAACTCTGAAGACAGAATTTAATACACAAACTATATTTAACTTAGAGATCAACTTCTCATTCACTCATGTCACTTCTCATTCACCTTACACTTACTGACTGTAAGAATAGAGCAGAGTAAGGTAGATGTCTGCATGAAAAAACTTAAATAAAATGAGCCTGAAATCTAGAAAATGCTAGATTAAAAAAACAAAAAGTCATTGCTCTATAAGATAATGGTTTTTGAGAATACGAAAAAGAATATGGTTAATAATGGGCTCATTAAGGTACCTTAATAAAGAAAAAGTACAATTTGGTAGTTATGAGAGAATTTTGAAGGATCCCTAAATGCAAAACATCAAAATATAGACACAAATGGGAACACTGGTAAAGTAACAAGCGTATAAAGATTCTTCCTTTTCCTTCAACAAAAATCTAAGGAAAAGAATTTTAATGCAAATACAACATAAACCTACCAAAGTAAATTTTTTAAAAATATGCTAGCTTTTAAGTTCTATATTGTAGTCCTTAAAAAAAAAAAAAACACTATTTATTCATTTAAATGCCTCAAATTTCCTAGTGCATACTCACCATTCTTAAATAGTTGCAATATTTAATAATGATCTACTATGGAATATGAGAGTAAAATCTATTTGAGAAAAGTAAAAAATCATTTCAGGACTCAAATATATTTAAATTTAGTACTTATTTGGCATTATAAAACTGTGTTACTTCTAATAAGTTATATTAATAGAATAAAATTTGTGAAATAAACAGAATGAACATAGACAAAACTCCTAATTCATCATCTAAAGCTTCCAAAAAAATAAATGTAACATTGGATTCATCTTTAACTTTCTATTAATAAATCAGTGCTAATATACTAATAAAGCTGGAACCAAAGATTAATGGATTTATGTTTATGAATCTGGATAACAAGTCCTATTTTAAATGTAATCATAACACATCAAATCAAATTAATTAATTTTTTGTAAAAAAAAGAGTTAGAATCAGTAAATATCTCTACAATAACATTTAGGAGAATGACAAAAGAAATACCAAATTCTCAGAATTTACATCTTCAAAGGAGTTGATATTTAACTCTGTCCCTTTCTTCTGGCAAACAGCAATTTTAAAAGCTCCTAAACCCTGATGGGTTACTGCATGGAGTCTGATTATGCACTTTCCTATAGCCCAGAGCCTTCTTGGAGCAAGGAAGTTTAGAACTATTCAAATAACTTGAACCAAGACACTTGCAGAAAGATAAAGTTGCTCAAATCCAAATCTTGGAAATTCTAACAATCTCAAAGCTCCAGGCTTCGGAGAACATTCATCAGTATTAAAGGAAATTCACAAAATATTTTGGATTTAAAGTCTATTTAGATGAAGTCTGTTTATAGTTTTCTACAGTGGCATAAACATTGAAAAAATCAAATAACTTATATAGAAGAAAAGCCAACATAGACAGATGTTCAAGGTATCTAATTTTTGTGTTCATTCACTTTTTTTAATCTCAAAACTATCCATAAGGTTAGCAAAGTACATTGGGGTAAAGGTTAAAAAAAATCTAATATTCCTGCTTATCACTTAAAACCTGAGTCTAGCATCATTGTGTCATTTTTTTAAAAATAATTTTGGTATTTTTTTAAAATAATTTTGGCTTCCTACCTGTTTTTTATTTTACTGGGTTTTTAAAATACATGTAATACATGACACTATTGGTATGCAATTTTCTGAGTGTGATAACTGCAGTGCAGTTAAGTAGAAGCTGTCTCTTAGATATATTCTGAAGACTATTGATTTACTTATTCATTCATTCATTCATACATACTTGAGCACTTTACTACAAAGCTACATATCCACCCTTTTATAACCTTTTTTTTTGAGATAGGGTCTTCCTTAAGTTGCTGCTGCTAGACTCAAGCCTGAGATTCTCCTACCTCAGTCTCTCAGTCTCCCTAGTCACTGGAATTACAGGTGTTTCACATCATGCCCAGCTGCTAAATATTTTATAGACGAAGTATCATGATGTCTGAAACTTCCTATCATTGTTCAGCAATGTATGTGTATCTTTAGAAAAAGGACCAGGTGAAACAAACTGTTAATAACTAGTGAAAATACATGAAGGTTATGTAAGTATGTATTATTCTTATACCTTTACTATGGATTTGAAAGTTTTGGAAACAAAAACTGGAGGAGAAACTATAACACTGGGTCCATAGTTAATACAACATGTGTTTGCTTTAAAAATTATCTATTATAAGTACTTCTACCTTTTACAAAACAATGCCATGCCCAAACACTGCAATATGTTCATAATCTTGTTTCATAATCTACCATACCTAAAAATCTAGTTTAGAGAATGATATCAGTAAATTATAAAAATGTCCAAAGGATAAAAAAAGTAATTATATTTTTAAAATTGGTTAACTAATGAATCTTTCTTTTAAATTAGTATTACCACTACATACTTTCTTACCTTGAAGAGCTTGAATCTTATGATCATTTGAAGAATTAAGAAATCGATCCACAATTGTAATTCTGTTCTGGAGAAGTTTCTCAATAAGATCAAGTCCTTCAGGTCCAAGCAATTCAAATAACTTATACAAAAAGAAAAATAAAATACCTGTTACCTCAAATTAACTTGTTCATGTTATTAACACTCTGCTAAACAGAGCAGTCAAATTAATATAACATAAAAGTACCCTCAAAATTTAGAAAATGTAAAAAAATTTACATTTTCACATTGTTAAGGGGTTATATGCAATTATACAGTTAAAAATTATCATTTAATGTTTAAAAATAATTATGATTTGAAGCCATAACTCTAAGTCACAGAATAACAAATTTTAGTGCTTGGCTTTTTTTTTGGCATAAAGAAATAAAACTCTAAAATTAACTTAATTTGCTTTTTATCATATAATTCTGGTTTTCCCAAGTACAGCTGAGTGCTAGTGTTTTTATACCTTTCTATATTTTAGAGTCAAAGAACCATAAGAGTGTTTTAGAGAATTGTGATTATTAGCCAATATTTGACATGTATTTTAAACATTTAATAAATCTGATATCTCAAACACAGTGCACAAATGCTTTATGTAATTTTATATAAATTTCCCATGCATATCTTAGTCTATTAGGCAGTTGCTGCCCAAAAACTAAGCTGCTTTCAGAGTCATAGAATCAGTGTAAGAGGTCAGAGATTTTGAATTATATAACCATATTATATAACTGCTCTAGAAATGCTTTAGATTTCTTCAAGTATGATCTCAGAATATATACTACTTCTTCCTTTTCAAAATGGTATACTTTAATTTTGCATGTGACTATGCTATATTAACCAAATTCTGCTATCAAAGAAACAACACAAATAAAATCATAAGATAAAAATTCATGCTGTGTATATATGAGATATTAAACAATGAATTATGTGTACAAAAAAAAAAGAAACAATAAAACAAAATGAATTAAGGATGCACTTATCTAGCAATTCTAAATAAACCAGTAGCATTTATTGAGCATTTATGCCATTTATTGAACATTTATTGTAGGAGAGATATTATGATCATCACTTGCTAATTCTATGTAACAAATGCTCTTTTCAAATTAAATACCGTTATTACTTTTGACCTTAGGAAAATTAAGCTTTAGAAAGTTTATGTAAATTGCTTAATGTTACACAGCTAATAACAGAGTTTTGAAATGATACATATATGAATCCAGTGATAAAGAATTTCCATTATACTATGGTAACACCTTTGACTGTTTTCTAGAAAACTGTTGTAATACAGAAATTGATATATTGTCCACAAAAGACACACTAGGAAATATAAAGATAAGAAATGAGGCTAATAAATTTTAAAAATTTCTAAAAGAATATTTTTGTTGAGTTCATCCCTAAAACAAAACAAAATAGACAAAAGAAAAATAAAGTTCACTGGACTAGACAAAAGAGAATGAAGGGAAGGTGGGGATGGGAGTAGAAAAGACAACAGAATAAATCAGACATCTTTCCTACCCTTATATATGACTACATAACCAATGTAACTCCACATCATATACAACCACAATAATGAGATCATAATTGGAGCAAGTCATACTTATTCTATGTACATATAATTATATGAAAATACACCCTACTATCATGTATATCTAGAAAGAACAAGTAAAACAAAAGAAATATGAAAGCAAAAATAAAACTTGTGACATCATCCTACACACCCAAATACAATGGTGGTATATGATAGTAAGGGATTAAGACAAAGACAAAGCCAATCATAAAAGAAAACCTAATATTCTCTCTTGCCCTTTCTCATCAGACTCCTTCAAAGAATAACTCATCCATAAAACACAGAATGTGGAATCCAAGAAGTGAGTCTCTGAGACTCTTCAGAGGTCCATAAAGTCAACACTATTTTTGTAACAATATTTGGATACTATGTACCTTTTTCACTGATGATATTTGGACTGATGCTGCAAAATCAATGGGGGAAAGGTTTGTACAAATAAAGCCAGTAGTATCAAACTGTCACGTAAGCACAGTTATAAACACAAGAGCCAATTTCACTCAAGAATACCATTAAGTAAAGTAATAACTACTAATTTCTTAAATCTCAGAAAAGCACATATCTTTTTAAATAATCTGCTGAACGAAACACTGACAAATGAAGTATATATAAAATCACTTCTGGCACACAACAGTATACAATGAAATATATGAAAGATAAGTGCTAGTCAGATCATTTCATGTAACACCATTTTGACATGAGAGAATGAATGAAGTCTTCTCTAGTCTGGTTATTCAGACTAAGATATTTGACAGTTTCTTAAAAAGCAAAGAAGTAACCTGCTATACCAAGGAAAAGAACTGAAAATATTTGCTGCCAGTGATAAAATTCAAGCTTTCAAGAGAAAAATCAAAATTTTGGAAAACGTGTATTTTTTCACCAATGAAAACCTGATCAGTTCCCAAAATTTAAAGATTTCTCTGATGACATCAGTGGTGATAGCAATGAATTAGTACTATTTGTAATATTACATAATGAAAGTGTCTACATTAGGAAGATAGGTATAATTCACTGAATCAATTATTTTTCATAATATCACATATGATGCCAGTAAAATGAGAAGACAGATTTTAGTGAAACAATTCAAAAAAATCTCATTGTCGTACTTTCATATTTTCACCATAATTGACCGGTAAGAAACTACCATTTGTCAAGTTTTAATATATCAAGAAAGAATACAAATAACTATTTAAAAAGGCTTTTAAGATATCATTCCTTTTTATGGTTGGAATTTGATTCACTGGCAGAATGCTTGCCTAACATACATAAGATCCTGAGTTCAATCACTAACACTGCCCCCAAAAAAAGTAAGATATTATTCCCTTTACTAACTACATCTCTGTGTGAGGCTGGGTTTCCTTTGTATACTTCAGCCAAAATATACATTATAGCAAATTGAAGGCAGAACCAGATATGAGATTCTAGCTATTTTTTATTAAATCAGACATTAGAGAGAATGCAAAATAACACTACTTTTCTTTCTAAGTTTTCTAGTATGGAAAAATATAGTTAACTGTCATCCAACTACGCTAACTTTCAATACAACTACGCTAACTTTTAATAGGCTTAATATTTGTGAAAGTCAAAGCACATATATTTTAAAATTTTACTCAGTTTTAATTTCTAGTACATTCAAGACATAAACATTAGCAAAATCTCTTTGGAATCCTCAATAACTTTTAATAGCATTAAGATATACTGATATCATAAAGTTCAATAACTGATGGCCAAGTCTACCACAAAACACATCTAAATGGTCTTCTCCTTATTTTATACCCATGTTTCTATAGCTTTTTTATATCATGCACATGTGGAAGATCTTAATATTTATAAGGCACATTGAAGTAAATGGACAAGTCTGCTATGACCAAAAAGAGATTACTTGAGGATTCAAGCAGTCTTGGCCTCAGACAACTGTCCTTTATTCACATAGTAGAATATTCTCTCCCGTTTTTAATCCTTCAATGAATCATTTTTTATAAAGGCAATCATCAGAAGTACTAGTTTTGCTTAAATAAACTAGAATAGTATTCCAGCCTACCTGTACCCAATTCAAAATCATGTGCCCTGACACACCAGTAGGAAACCTCTACTACATCCACACCCAAATCTGTTCATATTGTATACCATGGTTGAAAATCTTTAATACTATTACAGTGCTTAAAAGATAAAATCCAAGCTTCTCAGCACCCTCACAGCTTGTCATTCAATATCTGGCCCCAATGAATCTGTCAGTCATCATCACATCCTGGCTTTCCCCAAATGACAAATCCTTACCGTCCAATAACACCAACCATCTGTTGCTCCAAGACTAAAACATGCTCGTTCACATCTCCATGTGTTTGTACATATTGTTTCTGCTAGATGGAATCATCTTTCTACTCTCCCCAGCCTGATAACTTTTACTTAAAATCTTCAAAACATAGCTCAAATAATAACTCTGTGAGGCAAGAAAAGAAGCTTCCTCATTATTTTGTGTCCTCCTTCAAAGAATCTTGCTCCTTTGTTTCTCCAAGAGTTACAACACAAATGCAAATGCTAAGATATATTAAAGACATGCTTTATTCATAAAATAGAATTTTTTCTCCCATTTTTAATCCTTCAATGAATCATTTTTATAAAGGTAATCATCAGAAGTACTAGTTTTACTTAAATAAACTCTTTCTAAATAAAAGTCAAAACTGTCTCCAAATGTAATCTAAAATACAGAAAGAATCTCAAATGGGTTGTTTTCAAAAAGAAATTTTTGCCAGGTATTTCCCAGAACAGGGTGAAGATTAACTTTTTGTTGTTGTGTTGTTGGTATTTAATCTCCTTCAAATATCAGTAGCAAACACCTTAATGACCCTTCTCCTATTATGTTGAAAATGGTTAACATATAAACATGTATAAGTAATGTATCTAAAACCACATTAATAGAATATCTAGAAGAATGAAGAAATAATAAATAGAAGTATAACTAAAGATAAAACTAAAGTGGAAAAACTAAAGATAGGCCAATATTCTAGACAAAAATAATAAACTTAGGATCCATCTTTGATCCTCCTTTCTTAACATCCTTCAAGCATCCTTCAAAATGCTGAAGATATGTTAAATACTTAAATCATAATGGATTTATAAATTCACAGAAATCATCATAAACTTCTAGGAAATAAGTTAGTAAAAAACAGAATCATATTCATTTAGAAAATCTCCAGTTATAGTAAAATACATACTAAGAATATATTTTACAAATAAAATAACAATGCCTTGAAAATTTCCACATATACATGATATTTCCATATATCCATGAGTATTAAGCACTCATCTTAGTATAAGCTATTCATCAATACCATTAGGAAATGTCCATCCTGATCATGATCAAACTGCAAGATAGGTATTAATAAGGTTTCATTTATAAAAGATAGTCTATGCTTTAAATAGTATCTATTATTTTTTCAGTTGAACAATACATGGAAATTTTCAGCTTTCTAATGGCTTAACAACAAAAACAAGTTTCTAAATCATCACATCTTAGGGTCACCAACAATTTTCTT